TAAAATATTTATTCTCTCATTCTTTTACAGAAAAAAGACCACAGAGGATTGTTTAGAATATTTAAATCCATACATTAAATATATGGCTTCATTACTAACATTCTATATAGTACCTGACTAAATTATGCCCATTATCTATTAGAGCCAAGTTATACAGATACAGTCATAATTTAGCCTGATTAGCATGAATTCAGCAGACTAATTAATAATAGTTCAGAAAGCATATATTTCTACTATATATGATACACAATCATCATTGCACTATATGCCTGTGATTCTAAATAATCCTTTCATATCATCCATAAACAAATTTGTTTTCAAAGGTGGTTTGGCAGTAATCCGAAATATTTTACTTTATAAAATCAAACGATCATTACTTTTAGGGGCACCTGGGTGGCTCAGTCGGCTAAGCATCCTATTCTTGATTTCAGCCCAGGTCTTGATCTCAGGGTCGTGAGTTCAAGTCCCGCAATGGGCTCCAAGCTGAGCGTGGAGCCTACTTAAAATAATAAATACATAAAAATTAAGGACTACAATAAAAAAGATACTTCCATATTTTCTCCCCAATATTGGCTTTCCCTCATACCTGTCAACTCCAGCCCAATGGAGATGAGCCTCTCAGATTCCTCTTCTAGAAAGGATTCATTGCCTGGCTGCAAGAAGCGTGGTTACTTGAGTCTCCAGTTAGCTCTGCTGGGCTTCATCTCAGCTTTAGCGCTAAGGGCCTGCTATTCTCAGGGCTGTCTCCAGCCTATGACTGAGCAATGAGGGGGTTCAAATGGCCAGGTGGGACTCCTCTAACAGTGAACCTTTGCTCTGGAGCTCTATGTTGGGCTAGCGGCAAGTCTGTCAGGTTGACATCATGGTCTGAAGCTCCCACTGCTCAATCCTGCTTCCCCCCTTTGCTTTCACAGGTTCCCAATACACCTGCACTTCTAATTCCATGTCAGTATCTTCTTCCTGGAAACTTAAGCTGTGACACCAACAGTGTATTGCATATCCTTCTGGTCTTTTCCAACTTGATACATGAAAAACAGCATTTCACAGGTTTTCTTTGGCATTTTACTATGACCGAGGATGAACATATTGTCACATATTTAGAAGTGATTTGCATATCTATGAATTGTCTCTGTCCAGTTTCTTTTAAACTGGTGGGCTTTTATATTGATTTGCAGGAGTACGTTATTGATTGCATCTGTTGCAAATTTTTCTTTGCAACTTGCCACTTGGCTTTAAGGTTTCTAAGGTTAATTGAGCATTCAGTAATTTTATGAACACAGTGTATCAATACTTTCATGACTTCAGAATTTTATGGCATCACTAGAAAGGACTTCAGTCTAAGATAATAATAAATATTCTCCCATTTTTTCCTTCTCGCACACTGATGGTTCCATTTTTATATTTAAATCTTTAATCCACCTGGCATTTATTTTAGTGTAGGAAGTAAAGGAGAGTTCTAATTTTATTGTTTCCTGGAGAATGGCATGAAATATTTCCTTCTGCTGATGAACTGGTATGTTTTCCCCGTGGACGATACAAATCATGTAACTGACTCCGTTTCCCCTTCTGCTATTGTTGTAGAAAAATCAGAGACAAATTCTCAAGCACACAAGTGAATTTCATACAAACATCCCAATTTTCCTTGATGTCAATTTTCTATCTGTTTGTGTTTTTTTGTGATCCTACCTTTATTTTTCAATTTTATGAGATGTATTCTTACCAGGTTCCAAGTATCCAGTGGAAAATAAAATAGGGAGTAAATGAATACGTAAGCTCTAATTCATCTGGGCCTCAGTCATTTCTTGCTCTTCCTTCCCTGTAGGTAGGAAGCTGGCTGGGAGGGAGAGAAAATACAAATGGAGATGAGAGACACGGTCTGCCTCACCTCTCCCAGAAGCACCAGGCTGGAAACGCCCACCCATGAGCCAGGTGAGAGGTCACCAGTGGAAGCTTGGGAAGCCCACATGCTTAGAGCACCAACGTATGTATTGGTGACTGACAGAGTTGTATAGATCTGACATGACTGGGGCTGGCAAACTTCTCCTATTAAAGCCCAGATAGTAAATACTTCAGGATTTTCAGGCTATCTGGTCTCTTTGGCAACTACTCTGCCAGTAACAAGCACGAAAGCATCCACAGACAATAAATAAGCAAATGAGTATAGCTGTGTTCCAATAAAACTTTACTATTTGATACTAAAGTCTGAACTTTATATTCTCTTCAAACATCACAAAATATTCTTCTTTTTACTTTTTTCAAGCATTTAAAATAGGGAAAACCATGTTCTTAGATTGCAGGCTGTAAAAAAAAGGTCAGAAACCCTTGATGCAGAGCTTAGATGAGGAAGTTTGTTACTGGGAATATGTGTATCATTGTTAATGCTTGATTGTCAATGCAGTGACCTCCTTCAGATCAGTAATTGTACGTCTAGAAATTTATTACAAGGAAATAATCACGGTGGTACACAAAAATCTGAAAGCAAAGACTGTTATCCCATCCCGGATTATAACAATGAAAAAAATTGGGACACATCCAAACATCCAATAACAGAGGAGTGGCTCAAAAATCTGAGGCCATCCAAAACATGGAATGTGATGCAGCCATGTCAATTATCGTGTGGCTCACAAAGAGAGAAAGCAAATGCGGTCAAATATTAACATTTGTTGAGTCTAAATGCAGGCTCTATGCACTGCCAACTTCTTTGTAGTTTTAAAATGTAAAAATAGTGTACATGGTTTTAAAAGGTAAAAAATGAGGGCACCTAGGTGGTTCGGCATCTGCCTTGAGCTCAGGTCATGATCCCAGGGTCATGACTCCCAGGTCATGAGCCCAAGTTGGGCTCCCTGCTCAGCTGAGAGTCTGCTTCTCCCTTGGCACCTCCCCCTGCTGGTGCTCTCTCTCTCTCTCCCTCCCTCTCTCTCTTAAATAAATAGAATCTTTTTTTTTTAAAGTTAAAAATGTTTTTGTGAAATGTAAGTTAATAGGCTTGCACGGACTCATCTCCAGCTCATCAGAACTCTGTGTTCTTTTGTGTTAAATAAAGATAATAAACATAACACTTTTTTTCCCCCACAGGAAAATGGTATAGATTAACTCAATAATAATTGTCTACCTACCTGGTGTCTGTTTCAGTCATAACAAATGTAATTTCAACTATATGAAACATGAGAAGATTTTTTAAAAGATTTTATTTATTTATTTATTTATGTGACACAGAGAGAGAGAGATCACAAGTAGGCAGAGTGACAGGCAGAGAGGGTTGTGGGGGGGGGGGAGGCAGGCTCCCTACTGAGCAGAGACCCCGATGCAGGGCTCAATCCCAGGACCTTGAGCTCATGACCTGAGCCGAAGGCAGAGGCTTAACCCACTGAGCCCCCCAGGCGCCCCTGAAACACGAGATTTAAAAAAAAAAAAACATATTTTAAAAAATCACGTTTCCTTTACAAGTATCTTGTTCTAAGAGCAAAGAAAAGCTTGACTTGCTTAGGTTTTGAGCATTTGAAAGAAAAACTTGATTTTACATGGGAAACACACAAATTATCTGAGAAGACTTCACTGGTAGAAAGGTGTTCTCTAGGCCCTGTAAGCGGAACAGCATTTGAGGGATCTGGCCATCTGGGTTCTCCCTTCAGACTCAGCCTCCACTTCCTGGGTTTGATGCTATTATTTGAAAATTCTAACATGGGAAAATAAATTCATTAACTTGAGTGTGTACAAATAAATAAAAAGTTTAGATATTTAAATAATGACATAGGAACTATTTCTAACTACAGAACAGAGGACTTGAGCAGAGGACTTGAGCGATCTTGAGCAGAGGACTTCAGCGACCCTCCAGTCGCCGCCTTTCTTAAACGAGGTAATAGACATAGTGCGTTGTCAGTATCTGCTTGGAACTTAGTTATGGATTGCAAACTGCAAAACCGGAGTTATCGAAGATGAGTTTCAAGAAATCTGTCTCCGTTTAAAATTTTTTTTTAATGCTCACATTCATTCCTATTACCGGGAGTCAAACCCAAATCTCCCGCCTGAAAAATCAAAAGCCACGGCGATAGTTCACAGGGAGGTACTCTCCCTTTTACAAACCAGAATCATAATCAATTTTTGCCCGTCTGCTTTCGAAGCTCTTTTAAATACTAAATGCTTTACTTTCTTTACCTCTACCTGCGCGATCCGCCTCGCCCAGAACCTGCCAGATCCCAATAAAGTCCGCCCCCGCGAGCCACGCAATCCCCAGAAGCTCCGCGCGTCTCTCTGTTCCCACGATCTGCGGTCGCGCGGACTCTCTTCGGATTCTCTGAAGCCCCGCCCTTCTCTCATCCGCGCTCAGCCCTTTAGAACCGCCTTCCCCACCTGGCTATTTGGTTGGCCAGCGCCCTTGTCATACGTCATTCTCCCGCGCCACCCGGAAGCCACGGTTTATAGCAACCGTTCTTATTGCCGGCGGCTCTAAGGTGAGGGCCGCGTTTGGGTGTCCCTGGGTGGCCGAGTTCCAGTGTTGGGAGGGGCAGAAGGCAGAACCCCCGACAGGAGCCAGACGAGCCCACTCCCGCTGTTGAGAGGGTGCAGATGTACTGTGCCGGAGGCCAAACAGAGTGGTCAGCGTGGTCTACCCCCTCCCCATTCCTCAGGAGCCCATCATGGCGACGCCCCCTAAACGGCGGGCGCTGGAAGCCACGGGGGAGAAAGTGCTGCGCTACGAGGCCTTCATCTGTGACGTGCTACAGCGGGACCTGCGGTGAGTGACAGCGTGGAGGGCCTGGCGTATGGAACGTCCCACGTGGGGGGCGGGGCGTTCGAAGTCAGGGCCTAGCCTTCTGATTGGTGGGGGAAGCGTTTGGAGCCCGGCCCCGTGCGCGGATCCGGCGAGAAGGAGGGGCGACATCCGGGGTGCGACTTGGGCTGGGATGTGGCGGTCTCAGTAGAGGGTGCGTCCGCGCAAGGACGGCCTCCCACCTCACTTACAGGTTGAGCTAGAGCCCAAAGCGGGAGTTCTCAGGTTCGAATCCATGGTCATTTCGCCATCCATGTGAAGACGTTGTACCCTGACTCGCCTTTCATTGCCTCACTTTTCTTATCTGTGAAATGGGAAAATTGATGGAACCTTCTTGATGGGGTGGTTTTGAGTTTTTAATGTGTTCAGTGCTTGTAAAGGATTTAACATGGATACTACGGGCTCAGTGAGTATGAAAATTATTACTATCATTATTAATCTGAGCAAGAAGTAGAGTGTTCAGAAGTAGGATAATGAACATCCTAAAAGGGATGGAAGATTTTTTTTTTTTACAGTAAGAATGGGACACCTTTTTTTTTTTTTTTTGAGAATGGACCTTTTGATTGGAGGGAGGCATTGGGAGTAGAGTGTGATAATAGAACTAATAAATAATAGCTAATACATAGAGCTTATTATTTGGTTAGGCACTCCTATAAGTACTTTGTAGTAAACACTTGTTTAATTCTCCTAATGCCTCTGAGGTAATACTTGTGATCCCTTTCCTATAGATAGGGAAATTGAATCTTAAAGAGCTTATTTAATTGCCAAAGTCACACAACTAGTAAAAAAGGGGGACCCTGGGTTCAAACCCAGGCAGTCTGACCCACAATTCAAATCTTAACTTCTGCACTACAGTGCTTCTTTAGGGCACGGCAACATGAAGATCTCAGTGATAAATTGAGGTATTCTGAAAGGGCCAGGGCTTCCCTTTGGTCACTGTTGTCCTCTTGTCCCATCAGAAAAGTGCTGGACCATCGCGACAAGGTATATGAGCAGCTGGCCAAATACCTTCAACTGAGAAATGTCATTGAGCGACTTCAGGTAAAAACACCAAGGTTAGGTACCATTTTGGTGTGTGTGGGCAAGGGAGGGGGATGGGAGGAGAGACCCCAGACCAAAACCTGTCAGCTGACCTGAAAGTTGACCACTGACCCCTACCTCTTTTTCCCTGGCCCCACAGGAAGCTAAGCCCTCGGAGTTATATATGCAGGTGGATTTGGGCTGTAACTTCTTCGTTGACACAGTTGTGTGAGTGTCTACCTGCCCCTCTGAGCCCACAGGGCTCAGCTTCCCCCTTCCTTCATTCAACAAATATTTTTTTGAGTACTTGCTATGTACCAGACGTTGCGCTAGGTGCTGGGGATACGACAGTGAATCAAATAGGACAAAATCCCCACCCTCCCAGAGCTCCAATTTGGGTAAGGTGGGAGGAGTGGCTATATGGTATGCTAAACAGTGATAAGGACTTCCCCCACTTCCTCTAACGATTGTTTCCTCAGCTCAGACACTTCACGAATCTACGTGGCCCTTGGATATGGTTTTTTCTTGGAGTTGACACTGGCAGAAGCTCTCAAGTTCATTGATCGTAAGAGCAATCTCCTCACAGAGTAAGTCCATCCTATGAGGATAGTGTCTAAAATGCCATCATTTGCAACACCCTTCTCCCTTTCCCCATGGCTCCCTGAGATGAGACTTCAGGGGCCATTTCCCCTCCTCCTCAGGGCTAGGGCTGAGGAAAGGGGAGACACAAAGCTTAGCCCCAAGTATAGCACATAGTAACCACTCAATAAATGGTCTTTGTATTGTTCGTTCACCACATTTGTTGGCTCTCTGTTCTGTGCCAGGCTCTGTACTTGGCAGTGGGGAGGTAGCAGTGAACAAGACAGAAGGGTTCCTTGAAGGTCTAATTTTGACCAGATCCAGGAGGTTTTGGCCTATAAATCAGTAACAGCAAAACAAATTACCTCTGAATTCACCTCCTACTAATTTTCCTGCTCATTCACCGTACTCTCACCACACTGACCTTCCCGGGCTTCTTGAAACACCCTCAGAATGATCCCACCTTAGGGTGACTGCAGTGGCTGTGCTCTCTGCCAATAACACATTTTTCCAAAGTGCATACATGGCTTCCTTTCTTCTAACTCAGTTTGAGTCTTTCTTAAATGTCACCTCCTCAGTGAGGCCTTCTGTAACCTAACTTGAAAATTGCAACCTCTGGGGGTGCCTGGGTAGCTCAGTCTGCTGAGCATCCGACTCTTGGTTTCAGCTCAGGTCATGATCTCGGGGTCGTGAGATAGAGCCCCACATCAAGCTCTGGACTCAGTGGGAAGTCTGCTTGGAGATTCTTTCCCTCTCCCTCCCCCTCTGCTCCTCCCCACTCACTTTCTCTCTCTCTCTCTCTCTAAGTGGATAAAATCTTTTTTAAAAATTGCAACCCCTGGCACTGCTCATTCCTCTCTCTTGTTCTACTTATGACCTCTTAATGTTTACTGTATAATTTAGTTCTTTCTAAAATTCATTGCCTTCGCCCATTAGGATATAAGCTTTATAAAGGGGAATAGTTTGTCTATATCTCCAAGAGACCAGAGTAGTACATAGCATACAGTAGGCATTCTGTGTTTATTGAATGAATTTAAAAGGGTATGCCGGAACCAGATGGAAGGGGGGGATTGAAGCAGATCTCTGGTGGTGGAGGGGAAGGTAATGTGGGGAGAAAGTGTGAGCTCCAGTTGAGTTTAAGGCTTTGTGCAGGGAAGGGAAATTGGGAGTGTGGATGAGAGGTTTGAAATGTAGTTAGGGAAAGCTTTCCAGGGGGAAATGACATTTGAGTCTCTTGGTTGTGTGAACAAGCCGTGGGGCTATTTCTGGCAAGGGGACCACGTGTGACTGCCACATTTGCAGAATTGCTAAGAGAGGCAAACATGCCAGGAGAGGGAACACCGAGTAATATACTTAGATGAATACCATCTTACAAGAGTGAATACCACTGATCTAAAATGCCTTCTGGGTTAAATTTTTCCTACATTCATTTCTTCCAGACTTGCCTCTCTCATGGTTTTAGTAATTCTTCTCTTTTCAAACCACTCCAAGGTTTCAGTGTTGGGAGACCCGAAAGAGCATCAGATCTGCTGAGATTTCTAAATCTCAGTGATCAGACCAGTTGGTGAGGGGGTCAAGGGGCCTGCCCTCATGGGCCAACAGAGTTCTGAACTAGTGGTTCATTTTTTATAACAAAATTTCCTTGTTCTATGACAGGACTCCTGAGCCTTTCAGATAGAGATTTTAATTTTTTTAAAGATTTTTTTTTATTTGAGAGAGAGAATGAGAGAGAGAGCTTGAGAAGGGGGAGGGTCAGAAGGAGAAGCAGACTCTCCATAAGCAGGGAGCCTGATGCAGGACTCAATCCAGGGACTTCAGGATCATGACCTGAGCTGAAGGCAGTCGCTTAACCAACTGAGCCACTCAGGCGCCCTGAGATTTTAATATTTTGAGACTTGATGTATTTCCCAAAAATATATTTACATTGTCAGTGCCTGCCTCCCTTGTCTGATCTTTTTGATATATTTATCTGGTTTACTAGTGTCATGAGAAATGTGATTGGATCTCTTATTATTTTATTATAATTAGGAGGGCTTCCTAGAAGCTTAATCTTTCTAGGAGATGAAGATTTGAGTCTGGGTAGCTCACTCTCCTCTTTAAAATACTTTGTTCCGGGCGCCTGGGTGGCTCAGTGGGTTTAACCTCTGCCTTCAGCTCGGGTTGTGATCCCGGAGTCCTGGGATCAAGTCCCACATCGGGCTCTCTGCTTTTGCAGGGAGCCTGCTTCCCCCTCTCTTTCTCTGCCTGCCTCTCTGCCTACTAGTGCTCTCTGTCAAATAAATTTTTAAAAATCTTTTAAAAAAATACTTTGTTCCTTGGGACACACTTGGAACTAACTTTCTTTCAGGTTATTTTATGCAACCAAAAAGACTGTCAGTCCTTATTTTTAGCATATTTCTTTAGGGAGTGGGAGGATCAGGTCTGTGTGTATATTCTTTCCTGATTACACAGAAAAGAGTACATGTCCACAGATGTGTAACTGTAGAAGCGACAGAATAAGGGCACCTGCTAGGTTCAGTAGGTGGAACGTGTGACTCTTAATCTCAGGGTTGTGGGTTCAAGTCCCACATTGGGTGTAGAGACTGCTTAAAAATAAAATCTTTTTGAAAAGAGAGAGAAGAGACAGTAACCATTTGACTGTTAAAACTGCCTTACATATTGAAGCAGCAAAAAACTAAACATCTCTCATTTGTGTTACAACTAGCCTTTGGTGGACTTTGTATTTTCCTCCTTTTTAAAAAGTGTTGCAGCTCACAGCCTTTCCTAGACCAGGCTTGTACCATTAACTAATTTTGTTCTCTTTATGGATGTTCCGATTGCCCTTAGAAGCTGATCAGTTTCATTACTCTGTTCTTTGAGTAGTAACCCTGATATTCTTGAAAGCATTCTTGCTCTCTGGTAACAATACCATGCTTTACTGGTTTCTTGTCTTTAAACATATACTCAACCATCTCCTGAGGACTTCAGGCACCTTTGCATGGAGTAGCCATTCAGTCATTCATTCAATATACATTGGTGCATACTATGGGCCACACACAGTTTGCGTCCTGGAGATACAGCAGGGAACGAAGCAGACCAGTCTCTGTTCTCTGCCCTTACATAGCTTACATTCTAGGCAGGGGAGCCAGACAATAAAAAATAAGTAAATGATGTAGTATGTCACAGGTTGGCAGTGCTACAGAGAACAGCAGGGAACAGAGAGAAGAAACATTGCCTGGGAAAAATTTTTGGTAACTTTGTATGATGACCATTACCAATTAGTCTTATTGTGATGATCCTTTCACAGTGTATACAAGTACCAAATCATTATGTTGTGCCCTTGAAACTAATGTCACATGTCAGTTATACTTTAATAATTAAAAAAGGGATGGGTGCCTGGTGGCTCAGTCGGATAAGCTGCCAGACTCTTGATTTCAGCTCAGATCATGATCTCAGGGTCCTGGGACCGAGCCCCACATCGGGCTTTGTGCTCAGTGGGGAGTCTGCTTGAGGTTTCTCTCTCTCCCTCTCCCTTTGCCCCTCCTCCACTCTCTCTCTCTCAAATAAATAATTCTTAAAAAAAATTTTAAAAAGGAAACGAAACACTGCCTAGGATGAAGCGGTTGTAATTTTAAATAGAACGCAGGGAGCTGCCATTATCTGAGAGGGAGATGATAGAGAAGGAGCAGATTTAGAGAGAAAGACCCAGGAGTTCAGCCTAGACCCGTTAAGTATGAGGCACTTATTAAATGCTGAAGTGGAGTTTTTGAAGATGTAGTTAAAACTCCCAAGGCAGGAGTTCAGGAGAGGGGTCTGGATTGAAAATATAAATTTGGGAGATAGTGATGCATAAACGGGTTCATAGTGCTGTATTTCCCCCCCCCCCCCAGTTTAATCTTCTGTGTTGTTACCTTCTACTTTCCTTATCTAGTTTGCCTAAAACTGATTTCTACTTTGATGGATAGTACAGCAAAATAAAATATGCATTCCTTATCACAGTTTCAAGACCCTGCACAATCCAGCCACTTCCTACCCCTCGGACCTTCTCTCATACCACTTTCCTTCCACCATTCACTTAATTCCTAACACTCTGACTTCCTGACTGCTCTTTCCTGCATCTTGGCCTTTTTGGTGAAAAGACCCTATCTTACTATATTACTTACTCATTCTTCGTTCATCAGAAGGGCCTTCCTTGATCCTTTCTAGCAATTAGGATTCTTTTGGGTGAGACTGATCCCAGTCGGCCCAGAAGATATAAGGAACTGACTGGTTTCTCTACTCAACAGTCACGGGCCAGAATGGTTTCAGGCAATTCCAGCTTCACAGTTGCCTAGGCATCCTTCGTGAGTCGTCTCTCTCTCTCTCATACCTGACATCCAACCGTTTGGTAAATCCTGTTGATTCTGCCTTCAGAATATATTCCAAATCCAGTCACTGATCATCACCTCAGTTGCTGACACTGGTCTGAGTCTCCATCTCTCACCCAGGCTATTACAGTAGCCTTCTCACTGGACTTCAGCTTCCACACTAGCTCTCCTTATCCCCAGTTCTCCATACTGCAACCAGGTGGATCCACCAAAACCCTAGTCAGCGGGACCCCTGGTGGTTCAGTGGGTTAAGCGTCTGCCTTCAGCTCGGGTCATGATCTCAGTGTCCTGGGAATGAGTCCCACATCGGGCTCCCTGTGTAGTGGGGGGGTCTGCTTCCTCCTCTCCCTCTGCCCCTCCTCCTGCTCATGCGCTCTCTCTCAAATAAATAAATAAAATCTTAAAAAAAAACCCACCCAACTTTGTCAGTTCACATCCCTTCTCTGATTACAAGCTTCCCTTGGCTCCCATCTCACTTAGAGTAAAAGTCAGAGCCTTGTGGCTTTCACCTGATCTGCCTCCCCAGCTTACCTCTCTGACCTCACCTCCTACTATGCCCCCTTCACTTATTCTTCTTCAGCCACACCAGCCTCTTTGCTGTGCTTCAGACATGCCACGTACACCCCCACCTCAGCATCTTGCCATGTGCCGGCCCTTGTGTCTGGGACTTTCATCTTCCATCTGTCCACATGATTCACTTCTTTAAGTCTTGACTCAAGTGCTTCTCAGTGCAGCCGTTTCTAAGTACCCTCAGAATTAGCAGGCCCTACTTCTGCATTCCGTATCCTCTCTCATCATTTAACTTTTTCATTCTGCTTACAACCATCCAACATATTCCATCATTCGTCCCTCTTAATGAGAGCTCGAGCTCTGGAAGGCCGAGATTTTTGTCTGTTGTGTTTGCTGTTCTCTCCCCAGTACCTAAAATTGCCTGGCACAGAGTAGGGATTCAGTAAATGTCTCCAAATCAGTGCAGTCCAGAGGGTGGCTAGGTGTTTGTGCACAGGAGCATGTCGGGCAGCAACGTGTCCTACCACCTGTCACAGGAGGTAGGTAGTTCTCGAAGTGATGCGGAAGCATCATTCTCATGAGTGTTAAGTGGGGCCCACTTCGCCCTTTCTTGTTTCTTTTCTCCAGGCTCAGCGACAGCCTCACCAAGGACTCCATGAATATCAAGGCCCATATCCACATGTTGCTAGAGGTGAGAGCAGCTCAGCCCACTCCCAGACTCTGTCTCCAGATGTGTTCAGGGTGCTGTGACCTGAGGAAGGGAGAGAGCCAGGGACTGGAAGGACCATCTTTCTCTCTAAGCTGAAGCCAGGCTGGAGCCAGGCGGGCTCTGAGGGAGGGGAGGTTGCAGCAAGCCTGTGTGGAGGCCCAGACCCAGTCTCTGCTCAGTGCCTTCTGTCCTCTTTTTCAGGGGCTTAGAGAACTACAAGGCCTGCAGAATTTCCCGGAGACACCTCACCATTGACTTCTTCCCCGCTTCCTCAGACATTAAAGAGCCTGAATGCCTTTGAGTCACATGGCCCTTTTTTCCCTACCTCAACCCCTGCTGTTTGCTGAAGGTGCCCAGTTTCTAAAGCACAAAGTTACCAGGAGCCCTAGAGATACAGTCTCTGTGTGGAACCTATAAAGTAACCCTGAAGTCCCGCCTCCAGCCTGTTGCCTAGCAACATTTGCCACTTGACTTTCCACTCTGCCCTCTCTTCCGTTGTCTTGGCAATCTGGGCCTCCCACCTGACCGTCTCTTTTTTCTATTTCTTTTCCTGGACATAACTCTTACTTGTCATAGAGAATGGGCCGATTTCAGGGTGGAGGTTTGTAACCAAGACAATCAGCCTTTCCCTCCTGGCCCAAAGGTTTATCCCTCTCACCCACCCCAATCGTGACTGGGGTACCTTAGGTTACACCCACGCCCGCCTCGGCCCAACTTTGGCCTCACCCCGCTTCTAAATAGTTTTAGGTTCCACCAAGGGCTGCAGAACCGCATCCCGCCCTCCTCGGTCCGGCCCCTATTTTAGGTTGAGTCCAGCTTTCGCCAATCAACACAGAGCCAAGTTCCGCCCCTTTCTAACTGGCTGCTGCTCACCGCGGACTTTCTCGTAGGCATTTAGTTTCCGCTGCTCAGCGCTCCTCTGCGTGCCTGGCGGCTGTCCTAACCTACCTGGGCTCGGTTCTAAACTCGTCTTTTCTAGCCAATCACGATAGAGTAACCCTGCCCACCTACGCACAGCCCAGACCTAACCCCCTGCTTGCCTGCTGCTCCGCCCGCTTCCATACAAGTCCAGCTTCCGCTGAGCGGCGTGGAGTGCAGCACCGCCCCGTTGGTGTTTTGGCAGCTGTCTGGAGTCCCTCATCCACCAATCAGCAGGAAGCAGAGTCCATCCGCCCCTGTCCTCGGAGGCTGTCTTCCGTATAGGCCAATTGTTGTGAGGCAGGAGCAGGATCTTGTCAATCGCCCACGGGCTGTCAGGCTTGAGCCAATCAGCGTGAAGCACCGGCGGGTCCCCGCTCGCCCGCTCGGAATGCAAGCAGCCATCTGCGGTCCATCAGTTCCCCTTGAACCAATCACGGCACAGCTCTATGGGGCAGGACCAGCCTCCCAACCCTGGAAGCGTCACGGTCGAGCCAAGCGCTCTGTCCAATCAACGAGTGGCAGAATGCTCGGCTCCTCCCCCGTAGGCCCACGTGAGCGGTGAGGAAACGCAGGGGCGGCTTCTAGGTGCTGCCGCCGCCGCTGCCGCCGCCACCGCCGCCGCCGCCACCGCCGCCGCCGCCGCCGCCTCGGAGCCCGGGCCTGGGGGGCGGTGGGGCTGCGCATGGAGCCCCCGCCCCCCGGAGCTGCCAATACTGCCACTGCGCTACACACAGGTGAGCCCGGGGCTTGGAGGGTGGAGGGCCCGTCCGTGACCCCACGTATCCTTCCCGCCCCCGCGCGAGGGATGTGGCTTGGCCCGTGGCCTGCTGGTGTTCGACTGCCCACCGCCGCCACCACGGCTGGTGGACCTGCCTGTGGTATTGTCCCCTCCCTTCGCCCCTTGTGGTGGATCTGACCGTGGCCTGACCCCCCTTCCTGTTTTATAATGGATCGGTCTGCGGGCTTGTATTTTCTCCCCACCCCACCGTACAGTGGACTCGTCCATGGTCTTGCCCCCACCCCCACTTATAGGGGAGCAGTATCTAGCATTGTCCGATTATTTGACAGTAGGTGCATATGAATGTTTTTCTCCCGTCCTTAACTTTCAAGGGCCCCGTCTGTGGCCTTGTTTGTTCCGCCACTCCTTTTCCTTGTAGTGAATCAATCCATGGCGTTGTACACCCCCCATCCCCTTTAACAGTGAGTTAATCTGTGAAGTTGTATTTCTGCCTCCTCCAGTCCCCCAGCGCATTAGTCCACGGTTTTATCACACTGTTTTACGGTGGACCCGTCTAAATGCCTGTACTCACATCGCCCTGGTCATCAGCCCATTGCCCTAACCTTTTTTTTTTTTTTTTGTAGACTGTTGCCCCAGTCCCTGGGATTCTCCCTTCCTTTTAATAGTGGGTCAGATCAGTGCTTTTTATCTTCCCATTTTCAGTAGCCCAGTTCATGGCCTCGTTCTCTTCTCCTTTTAATTGGTCTGTGTGATGGCTTTTCACCCCATCTACTGTGGTACAGTCAGTATGCCTTTCTGTTCCCCTTGCACCACCCCAATAAGATGAACCTTTGCACTCCCCCACCCCCGCCTTTGCAGGGGATCTGTTCATTGGCCTCCCTGCTACCCATGTGCTTGCATTCAGGCACACACCCCCATGCCCTCCCCTGAGGCCAGTGTGCTTTGTAATCCCTCTTCCAGGAGGGGGTTTTATTTTGCCCCTCTTTTCCTTGTGATGGATCAGTCCATGCCTTCCCTGTCGTCCCCCCCCCCAATCAGTGGCTCTTCCCTTGTGCTTGTTGAACCCAGGGCTTTTTTACTCTAGAATACACCCCCCTGGTACACATCATTAACCCCTAAGACAGTCTGCCTCCCTCCGATAAGTGGGTGCATCAGAGATAGTGATAATGCCCTTAGGAGCTAATGTTTACTGAGTGCCTACTAGGTACCTGGCAGAGAGCTTTGTATCAGTGAGCTCATTGAATCCTCACCACAACCCTGTGAGATAGGTACCCAGGAAAGTTTCAGCATAGGGGGTTCAATACGCCATTTGGAGGTAAGTACACAGTTAGGCTGCCCCTCAGAACACAGACTAATTTTCGAGGCTCCCCTCTCTCACTTAATCCCATCCCACCTGAGACCCCACTCCTCAAACACCAAATTACTTGCCATCTCCAAGCTTTTGTTTTTGCCGTTATCCCCGGGACTGCAGAGCTGTCTCCATTCCACACCTTGTCTCAGCACCCATCCACCCCCAATCACGGCAGCTTATGACCTGAGTGACTTAACCACTTTCTCTCTGCCTACGCTTCCTCATTTCTAAAATGGAGGAATCAGAACCAGAACCCCCTCCAGTGTGAAGCATCCCGGGGAGTTAATAAAACAAGTCACCTCCCTGACCTCACCTCCTGCACCTTATCTTCCCACCTCTGTGCCAGCCACACTGAGCTCCTCACTCATTCCCAGATACAGCAAATGCAGTCCAGCCTCAGGGCCTTTGCTTCTGCTCTGTTTTCTGCCTGGAACGCTCTACCCCCAATCTTTGCATGATTGAGTTTAGAGCTCTGTCAGATGTCAGCCTGTCCCTGACAATCTGAACCTGCGTATATAGCAGGCCTCAGGTCCCTTCTTGGCTTGACTGGTCCCTTTGCCCTCGGTCGCTATCAGACACACCGTGTAGTTTACCAGTTTATTGGCCCTCCCCATTAGAACAGGAGTCCCATGAGGGCTTACAGTTTCTTGTCCACTTATTTATTGCTGGGTAGATATACCTAGTATATAGTAGGTGCCCAGTAGGACTTTATCACATGAATGAATGTGAAAAATATTATTTTAGACAGATCAGGGTTGGAGGGAAGATGGAGATGAAGAGGGCATATGAGAGCTAGTTAAAGAAGCTAATTGGGACTGTTCATTCAGCAAACACTTAGCACCTACTGAGTACCAGGCACTCTTCTAGGTGCTGGGGATATGGCAGGGAACAGAACAGGCAGAAATTCCTGTCCTTGTGGAGCAGACGTTTGCTAAAAGTAGGGGAGATGGACTATATAAATAAAACAGTAAGTAAAATTAGATAGTATGTTAGACAGGCGCTAAGGGGGAAAATGAAGTAGGGAAGACAGGGAGAGAATATGGGGGTGGTTGAAATCTTAGGCACCGTGCAGGCCTCCTTTAGAAGGTGACTCTTGAATTAAGGCCTGAAGGAGATCAGGGAGGAAGTCATCAAGTCTAGGGGAAGAGTGTTCTAGGGGCAGAAGGAACAGCTGGTGCAAAGGCCCTGAGGTGGGATTATGCCTAGTGCATTCAAGAAACACGGAGAAGGCCAGTGTGGCTGGGGCAGAGTGGAGGGAGGGAGGCAGGCAGGAGACAAGGTTAGAGCGGTGATGGGAGCCAGATGGTGTAGGCTATGGTAATACATAAGGTTGGAGAGTGAGGGGACGGAAACAGCTAATACATGAGCTGAGAGCTAACATTTGTCGAGTGTCTACCACATGCCAGAGATATTTTTCTAAGTCCTTTACATATATTGGCACTTAATCCTCACAAAAGCCTTTGAGAATCCTATATCTGGAGGATATTTTGCAGATGCAGAAACAGACCCAGAGAGGTTGAGTAACTCGCCCGAGGTCAGACAGCTAGAACAGGGCAGAGGAGCAGGAGACCAGAGAGCCAGAGAGAAGGGCTTTGCAAGAGCAGACAGGTTTATTTGGCACACTGGATCACACAGAGGAGGAATTCATTCTGCCCGGGAGATAGGAGAACCTGAGGATCGTATAATAAAGAGTTCCTCAGGTGTGAGAAGGGGGAAGGGTATGTGCGTGTCCTCAGAGATGGGAACTGGGTGAACTCACAGTGCCCATGATGCAGGGTGCCAAGCTCATGGGCACTTTAGTCTTCATACAAAGGCCCTTCCCACAGATGTTCACGTGGCTTGCTACCTCCCCTCCTTGAGGTCTCTGCCAGCATGATACTTCCTTGGGGAACCCTCCCTGCTCACCCCATGGGAAACACCATCCCCCAGACCCTCGAGGGTCTTGCCTTTCTGTCTCACTTTATAAGGAGCTGCTCTTGTAAAGCACTGGGACCACTGCCTACAGCCAGGCTGCCTGGGCTTGAACCCCAAGTCTGCAAACTTCCAGCTGCATAATGTGAGGCAGGTGACTGAAGTCTGCGCCTATTTCCTCCTCTGGAAAATGGGAGGATCATAATAACGCCCGCCCCCACAGTGTTGCTGTGAGGATTACATGAGTTAAATGATGAAAACGGTATGTGATATACACAGTAAGGGTTGTATGACTATTTTCAAAATTCACATCATTATTCATAGTGTGCATGTAGGTATCTAACAGGCCTCTGAGATCTCCAGAATTGACCTCCTGATCTTGCCCCAAACCCTGCTCTCCTGCTGTGCTCCCATCTCAGAGGGTCCCAGCTTCCAGACACTCAGGCCACACACCTAGAATCACCTTTGGTGGTGTCTCTCTCACTGCCCCCCCACCGCCCCACCGCCATACTGTTTGATCAGCAAGTCCTGCTCACTCTCTTTCCACATTTCGTCCAGAACTCAGCCATCCCTTCCCAGTTCCACTGCAGCCACGGCCATCACTCACTTGGACGGTCACCGTAGCCTCGTCACGCCCTCCAGCCAGTTCTCCTCACAATAACCAGAAGGATCCAGTTAAAGTCCAGGTCATGGCCTGTTGCCCCTCTGTTCACAGCCCTCATGTGGCTCTTCTCTCAGAGTCACAGTCCTGGCAGGGCCCACAAAAGCCTCACTCAGCCTGGCCCCCATAACCCCTCTCTTCTCACCTCGCTACTACTTTTTGTACCCTTCCTCCTTCCTCTCTGATCTTGCCTGACTCCTTGCTCTTCCTCTACCTGCCCTGTGCGCTCCTGCCTCAGGGTCTTTCACCCTAGCGGTGTCCTCTGCCTGGATCACCCTGTTCCCTGGGTCATCGCTGACCTGACTCGCTCACCTCATTTAGGTGTTTGCTCAAATGTCACCTGCTCAGGGCCTACCCTCCCCTGACTACCCTTTTCAGAAAGAACCGCTCCTTCCCTACCTCCTTTTTTCATAGCTCTTCTCACCATCTGACTTACTCTTTGACTCATTTATCTTCCTCCTTAATTGTCTTCCCCACTGAGATGAGAATTTTTGTTTTGTTCACTGCTGTATCCCCACCCAGCCCCCAGCCCACAGTAAGCACTCAAGAGACGGTTGCTGAATGAATGAGACAAAGAGACGTAAACACTCCTGAGTGAGGCAGATTACTAGGTCTCTTCTGAGGGGTCAGGTGGGAAATACAATAAACAAAACGTGAAACCCTGTGTGCTGTCATGGCTTGGAGGAAACGGTCAGATATTACCTTAATTAGTAGGTCCGATCACGGTTGGAAGAGGATCTGGTAACATTGCCCGTCTTGGCCACCAGGAGTCACACTGGACTCTTTGTGCCTCTGAGACAAGCAGGTCTTTGAAGTCAACTCAGTAAAGCCTCTGATGACAGGACTCTCAAATGTGGACACTTTCATGGCTTTGTGACTTGTATAATGGCCTAAAACTGTGTCTGCCCAGTGAACTTCAAAAGAGCTCAGACAAGAGAGACTCATGCCGATCATATTCTATATTTCATTACAGATTAAAGAATGAAGGATGGTTCTTTAAAACCTGGTTTGGAAGGTCTTATTCTTAACCCAACAGTCCCAGCCCGTGAACAGTCGATTGATGAAAGCTTGTTCCTTAAGGAATAGGAAGCTCCGTGTTCATTTCCAGTTCACCCTCCAATTCAGCGAAGAGGGCAGTTTTGGGGTTGGGGGTGGGGACGTGCTGAGGGAACAACGTCAGAGCAGTTTAGCCTAACAGTTTACATGCTTAGATAACGGGAATCTGACTGCATGGGGTCCAAATCCTGGCTGTGCCACTTGGGCTCCATGGCCCATAGGATGTCATCTGGACATTTTGTATCTTGGCTCCCTCCTCTGTAAATTAGCGATGATAAAGAGCGCCTACTTTCCCAGGGTTGTGATGAAAGATACATGAGTCAGTACCTATAAAAATAGCAGTACAGGTCTGCATGCCCTTATCCAAAACCCTCGGAGCCAGATGTGTTTCAGAATTTCAGATTTTTCAGATTTTAGAAAGGTAACAAGGTGCTCATACAAAATGTTACATAAAGCCCTCAGTAATCAGCCACATTCAGATTTCTGTAGCAGAATGTAGGAACAGTCAGCACTAAGTGAGGATCACTAAAGACTGGAAAGGACTTCATTGATTTCCAATCTGGTTTTGCTGCCAAAGGGTGATAAAGACGTTTTCTGGGTTTTTGGGTTTTTGGGTTGTGTTTTTTTTTTAAGATTTATTTATTTGAGAGAGCAAGCTCACACGTGCACAGAGGGGAGGGCAGAGGGAGAAGAAGAGTGAGAATCCCCAAGCAGACTCTGCACTGAGCCCAGAGCCCGATGCAGGGCTGGATCCCATGACCAGATCATGACCAGACCAGATCATGACCAGAGCCAAAACCAAAAAAGCGTCAGGTGCTTGTCTGACTGCACCACCTGGGCACCCCAAGAAGTTTTCTGTTTTTAGAGTTTGGGGGATTTTGGAATAACAGATAAGGAATTATGAACAAATTGGAAACTAGATTCTATTAAAAGCTTATCATACTCCAAGCATGTGATACCTAATCTGTAGAATAACTCTGTGAACTTGGTATTATTAGTATCCCTATTTTACAGGTGAGCATGTTATTATCCCTATTTTAAAGATGGGAAAGTTGAGGCACAAAGAAGCTAAAGAATATGCCCAGGGTCAGGGCCCCTGGGTGATTAAATCCATTAAGCATCTGCCTTGCGGTTCAGGTCATGATTGTAGGGCCCTGGGATCGAGCCCTGCATTGGGCTCCCTGCTCAGCGGGAAGCCTGCTTCTCCCTCTCCAACTCCCCATGTTTGTGTTCCCTCTCTCGCTGTCTCTCTCGCTGTCAAATAAATAAATAAAATCTTTGAAAAAAAAAGAGAGCATATGCCTAGGGCCACACTGCTAATAAGTAGCAGAATGAGGATTCCAGTCCTGGTAGTCTGGTTCTAGAGCCTGAGTGATTGTCTGGTAGGCCATATTGCCTGATTGGAACAATACCAGCCAAGCTTTATGAACTCAGCAAATGTTAGTTATTGCTGTTACCAAGAAGGAGGACCCAAAGGGACAGTAACAGGCCCAAGGAGTGCAAAGTTGACAGAAGAAAGCAGGCATTGAGTTTCAGGAAAGCCTCAGAAAGGCCAGGCTCCTGTGGCTGGGACTGGAACGATGGCTGGGACTGGAACGATGAGGAAGACTTCTAGAGAGAAGAGAGCAGCCCCACAAGGCGTGAACAGGTTTTGCGAGGGGCTTGCAGAAGGAACCTCCTGGAAAACTTGATATTTAATGTGGCAGAGGTTGCAAATGAAAACGTTCAGGTGAGGGAAACTATGCTAGTTTTCTACTCCTGCTATAACAAATTATTGCAAATAGAACTGCTTAAAGCAATGCAGATTATTATCTTGGCACTCCAGAGGTCAGAAGTCCAGCCCAGCCTCACCAGGCTGACACCCAGGTATGGGTGGGGCTGCATTCCTTTCTGGAGGCTCCAGGGCAGGATCTGGTTCCTGCTCATGCAAGCTGCTGGCAGTATTCAGTTTGTTGAGGTTATAAGATTAAGGTCCTTGTTTCCTTACTGATAATCAGCTGAAGGTCGTTCCCACCTTTTTGAAGCCACCATATTCCCCCAGCTTGAGCCTCATTCTTCCATCTTCAAAGCCAGTAAATGGCAAGTCAAGTCTCTCTCATGCTTTGAATCTCTCCTGCCTCTTCTGTCATTGCAGCTCTTGGAGCTCTCTTTCTGCCTCTTGCTTTTTTTAGTAAGAGTTCCTGTGATTAGATTCAGCTCACTCACATCATCCAGAACAATCTCCCTAAGGTCCGTACAGTAGTAACCCCCCATCCACAGCTTTGCTTTCCACGGTTTCAGTTGCCCGCAGTCAAGCAGAAGATGGTCCTCCTGACCTGTCATCAGAAAGTCAGTGGTAGCCTAACACTGTGTCTCAGTGCCTACGTCATTACCTCATCTCGTTATATGAGTATTTAATCATCTCACATCATCACAAAGAGGAGGGTGGGTACAAAACAATGAGATATTGGGAGAGCACATTCACAGAACTTTTATTCTAGTATATTGCCATCATTGTTCTATTTTAGTATTAGTTATTGTTAATCTCTTATTGTGCCTGATTTATAAATTACACTTTATTGTGTGTATATGTATAGGAAGAAACATAGTATATATAGGGTTTGGTACTGTCCACAGTTTCAGGCATCCACTGGGGGTCTTGAAACGTATCCCCTGCAGATATGAGGAAACTACAGGAAAGTTAAGTTCACCTGCAAAGTTCTTTTTGCCATGGACATAACATAACATATCATAGGTTCCAGGGATTAGGATGTGGACGTTTCTGAGAGGGCATTATTTTGCCTACCACAGTGTGACCTCTGGCCCCCCAAAATTCACGTTTGTCTCACATGCAAACTACATTCACACCATCCTCTTGTCCCCAGAAGTCTCCTTCCATGATGGGGAGTCATCCAAAGCCAGGCTGAGGGCACATAGAATTTAGTCTGATGGTGTTTAGGGAATGATGTTGCTTTGGGAACAGAAGTGGAGACAAGATGGAAAGAAAGGACTCCTACTCCTGTTGACCTTTGCTGCCTCCTGTGTTCACAGCCTCTCAGCTCTGAGCCGTCTGCCCTCCAGGTACCCCTGGGATGGCGTGAGCACTCCACCAGCGATGGACCCCTCTGTGACGCTGTGGCAGTTTCTGCTGCAGCTGCTGAGAGAGCAGGGAAACGGCCACATCATCTCGTGGACCTCACGGGATGGCGGTGAGTTCAAGCTGGTGGATGCTGAGGAGGTGGCCCGGCTGTGGGGGCTGCGTAAGAACAAGACCAACATGAATTACGACAAGCTCAGCCGGGCCCTGCGTTACTACTATGACAAGGTAAGGCCTCTGGGACTGGGACTGGAAGCTGCCAACATTTATATCGGTTATTTCATTTTCCTGTCTTAATTGTCATAGCTATAACTTTGAAAACAGAATTTACTATTTTTTACCCTACCCTCATACTCTCAGACGAATGTTGGGCACCCCAAATATTTATCTCAGGTATTTTCTTTTTCTTTTCTTTATTTATTTGAAAGAAAGAGAGTAAGTGAGAGAAAAAGCATGAGCAGGGGGAGGGAGAGAAGCAGACTTCCCCATTGAGCAGGGAGCCCGACACGGGGCTCGATCCCAGGACCCTGGGATCTTGACCGGAGTCGAAGGCAGTCGCTTAGCCAACTGAGCCACCCAGGCACCCCAGTCTAAGGTATTTTCTCTGTCTTACTGCTTTAAGGCTGAAACCTTCATAGTAATACTAATACCCCTACTCACCCCTTTTCTGAGGTCCCCAAGTTCATGCTGTTCCACTACCCCCCACACAACGTTTCATTTTCTTGCCTTATTCCTCTAGCTAAAAATTTGGAAAACAGTATAATAATGACTTCCTTATCCTGTCTCCTGGAACTGGACCAGTCCTGGACTCCTCAGTTATTTCATAATCTGCTCTTGTTCCAGAATAAGAACTCCAGAATAATCTTATTCCTGGCTTCATTACGTCCATGGCAATATTATACTAACTTTTCCTTATCTCATCCTCTAGGATAGTGAACACTTTTGTCAGTTCTTTTCTTCTCAGACCTCCAGAACAACATGTATAATGCCAGCTCCACACTCCATTCTCATGCATTCCCAAAGCAACACTGGCCCACCCCACCCCAGCTTTTATTATTTTATCCTCTTATGCCTATAGCTAAAATTTTACATTTTCCTTATCCTCTCAGATTCTTAGACAAGTGCTGGATTTCCTATCCCTCACAATAGACCAGGTATTTCATTTTCTTCTTTATCTGAAACTTCCAAAGCAATATTAATGAATATTCCCTTTTCATTCATTTTCTGAGAAACAAAAACCCACTCTGTGACATACCTGACCAGCATTAAGATGTTTCTAGGGTGCCCTGGTGCCCCCCAGATGCCTTTTGTCCCCCAGAACAGTCCTGGACCTATGCTGCACACTGTAAATCATCATAGCATTTATTCCATTCTCATATTTTATTCCTTTGGCTGAAACCACCAAAACAATATTGAGGCCACCTCATTCTGTGCCCTGAGACCACCGCAGCATTCCTGCGACCCTCCAGACCTATCCTGAAATATCTCAGACATGGTCTGCGATCTACCCAGCCAGCCTTGAGATTCCCTCCAGTGCTTATACCAGTATTTTAATGCTCCTCTCTGGTTGCTGTCAGTCACTTCATTTTCTAATTGCCTTAGCTTAAACCTGTACTGCAATATTTTTTAACATTTTGAAGATGTTATTTCTTTATTGAGAGAGTGAGCAAGTGAGCGGGGGAGAGAGAGAGAGCGAGTGAGCCCATGAGCAGGGTGGGGGGCAGAGAGAGAGGAGGAAGCCAGCTCCCTACTGAGCAGAGAGCCCAATGCAGGGCTCGATCCCCAGACCCCGGGATCATGACCTGAGCCACCCAGGCACCCCTTAAACCTGTACCACAGTATTAAGAATGAGGCTCCTCAGTTACAGCTAAGTCCAGAAATAAATTATGACAGCTCAGAAAAAACCCCAAAACAAAAAAGAATGAGGCTCTTCAGCCTGTCCTCCCTAGTGACCTTGCCTGGTTCTACCTCTCTATCGATAGCTTTAAATAATCCTCTTTATTAATAATTCACTGCTACATTCTTCTCTATTAATTTAGTCTCTTCCAGTATTTACATCAGTTACTTCATTTTCCTGTCTTACTGCATCAGCCACACTCCCCAGCTGTCCTGGCAGCTACTCCCAAGGCCTGGCCCTGTTAGCCCACAGACTCTCCCGGTTCCGGGAGCCAGGAGAAGAGCCTGTCCCTGCACTGGCTCCCCTAGGTGGGGCCTCTTGTGGAGAGGTGCTACAGGGTGTGGGGGTGTGTGTCTGAGGAGGGAGTGTGGGGACTGAACAGATGGAGATGAAGAGTGACGGGAAGACATGGAGAGGGATGGATGGGAAGGAGACATGGAGGGAAGGGCAGTAGACTAAAGAAAGAGTTGTGGAAGGGAGAAGAGGGAAAGGGGAGAAACTGGGAAAACTACAAGAGAGGGGAATCACAATGGGCAAGAGAGGTAGAAACAGAAGGAGGGGAAGAGGGGAGCCCCCAAATTGGGAAAGACGTGGGTGAGAAGTGGGCTGGGGGGGGTGCCTACTTGGGGGCAGATGTGTTAGTGGAATGGTGTATATGTAAAAAGCCAGGAGGGGGCAAGAAAGACCCTAGGAGACACCCCTGTGCCCCCTCTTCCATACCCTCCCTCCACTGCAGCCCTTTCAGAATTCTAAGGCCCTTTATCCTATCTCCTCCCTTCCCAGAACATCATCCGCAAAGTGAGCGGCCAGAAGTTTGTCTACAAGTTTGTGTCCTACCCTGAAGTCGCAAGGTGCTCCACTGAGGACTGCCCGCCCCAGCCCGAGGTGTCTGTCACCTCTACTGTGGCAAATGTGGCCCCCACTGCTGTACATGCTGCCCCCGGGGACACAGCCTCTGGGAAACCAGGCACACCCAAGGGTGCAGGAATGGCAGGCCCCGGGGGCTTGGCGCGCAGCAGCCGGAATGAGTACATGCGCTCGGGCCTCTACTCCACCTTCACCATCCAGTCCTTGCAGCCACAGCCACAGCCGCCCCCTCATCCTCGGCCTGCCTCCGTGCTCCCCAGCACCGCCCCTTCGGGAGCAGCAGTGCCCCCGTCTGGGAGCAGGAGCACCAGTCCCAGCCCCTTGGAGGCCTGCCTGGAGGCGGAGGAGGCTGGCCTCCCTCTGCAGGTAAGGACTGGAAGATGGAAATTCAGTAGGAGGGCGGGTATACAGATGAGGAGGGCTGCTGGCAGAAGGGACGTAGACATTCTATTTAGATACCATGGAGGGAGGGACACACAAGTTCCCTAGGAGAAAGAGTTGGGGAGGAGAGCCATGCAAGTACTAAGAACGTATTTGTTTAATGCATAGGTTCTCTCAGCTTAGCATTCATCAATCACCTGGAGGGCTTTTGAAACGACAGATTTCTGGGGCCCATCCGCCTCCCCTAGAGTTTCTGATTCTGTGGATCAGGGGACGAGCACGAGAATTTTTTTTTTAAACTAGTTTCCAGATGAGGCACATGCTGCTAGTCCCTAAAGCAAAATTTTGAGAACCATGGCTTTCATGAATGAGGGCAGTATCCCCAGGAGGCCCACCCTTAGGGGAAGCCCTGTCCCGCAGAGAGAAGCCTCCCCAGAAGCAGCCTCACATCCTCGGCAAAGCGTCACGTCCTGCTGGTGGACCTGTCTTGATGTGTAGTCATGCCCCACCCCGTACGAAGGACAAGTCCTTCCAAGACAAGTCCTTGGCTTCACTAGCCCAGCAATCCTTACGCGCCCCCTCTGCCCGCCCCCCCCCTCCTCTCCCAGGTCATCCTGACCCCACCCGAGGCCCAGAATCCTAAATCAGAAGAGCTGAATGTGGAGCCCGGGTCGGGCAGGCCACTGCCACCGGAAGTGAAAGTGGACGGGCCCAAGGAAGAGTTGGAAGCCGCAGTCGGTGGGGAGGCGGGGTTTGTGCAGGAAGCCGCTAAGGCCGGGCCGGAAGTCCCTCCTGCGGAGGGCGTGCCAGCCCGGCTGCCCGCGGTTGTCATGGAGACTGCAGCGCCGGTGGGCGGCCTCCCGGCTTCCACTGCTTCCAGCACAGAGATTGCCCAGCCTCAGAAGGGCCGGAAGCCCCGGGACCTGGAGCTTCCACTCAGCCCCAGCTTGCTGGGTGGGCCAGGACCCGAACGGACTCCAGGATCGGGAACTGGCTCTGGGCTGCAGGCGCCGGGGCCAGCGCTGACCCCGTCCCTGCTACCTACGCACACATTGGTGAGTGCCTGTGAAGGGGTGGGGCGGGCAAGGGAGGAGCTAGACTGCAAGGGCCAGTACGGTCATCTCTGGGTGAGCGGGAGGGTGGAGCCTCCGAGTGCCATTGGCTGGAGGGACAGGGCTTGATTAACGGGGGAGGGCGAGCTGGTCTCTGGTGCCCTGGTGCTGGGGCAAAGGGTGGGCTTTTGGAATGATGGGCAGGTGGGGGGGGGGGGTTTGTGGGCAGGAACCGAGAGGCCTTGGACAGGGCAAAACTGTTCTCTGGGTTGGGGCATGGCTTGGGGATCCTGCATGGGGCTTTTGGGGCTGGGATTTCCTTAGTGGGTTTCCTGTGAGGTGTATGGGTTGGTGGGATCTAAGAGTTGGAGGCAGATCCTAAGCTGATGGGATGGTGCCGTATGAGGTTTGAGAACAACATGCGGATGGGGTCTTGTAGGTGGTCTCGCCCAGTGAAGCTGGAGGTGGGCTCTCAGGAGCTGGGAGGGGTTGTCTGTAAAATTGGAGAGGTGTCATGGGCTTGATCTTAGCAGTCGGGGGTAAGCCTGTACACTTTGGGAGGGTGAGCTCAGAAGGCTGAGTGGGAAATCTGATGGAACTGGAGCCAAGTTCCTTCCATCTTCCCACACCTGCTATATACTCACTTGAGCTCCAACCACCCCTTCCCCACAGACCCCGGTGCTGCTGACGCCCAGCTCGCTGCCCCCCAGCATTCACTTCTGGAGCACCCTGAGTCCCATTGCACCCCGTAGCCCAGCCAAGCTTTCCTTCCAGGTAGGATCCCCTTCCCCCATGTCGGAGAGGGTGAGAGACCCTAGCATGGCCCCCATGCATGATCTTTCCCTATTTCTGTCCCCAGTTTCCGTCCAGTGGCAGCGCCCAGGTGCACATCCCTTCCATCAGCGTGGATGGCCTCTCAACCCCCGTGGTGCTCTCCCCAGGGCCCCAGAAGCCATGATTACCACCACCACCACCACCCCCTTCTGGGGTCACTCCATCCATGGCCCTGAACTTCTCTCCAGCCAGCCGTCTCAAGGAGAAACATAGTTCAGCTGACAGACTTGTGCTCTAGTTGTGGTGGGGTAGGGATTCTTAGGAAAGATCTTTTAGTAACCCTTCCACAGGAAACATACAACTTCTCTCTTCTTGGTCAGTTCCCCAGTGGCCGCCCTTACACGTCTCCTACAGCAGTGGTGGGGACGGTTTATTTATTTATTTTTTGAAGGCCACTGAGAGGAGCCTGGCCCAACCCTTTTGAGGGGTTGGTGAGGACATCTCCCCCATCTCCACATTTTCTCCCAAGATGAGACAATCGGGGTCTGGCTTGAGAAGGACCTTTCTTTATTTATTTCTCAGCCGGCCCTTGGAAACTGAGGGAGCCCTGTCTCCATTTTGGGGTGTGAGTGAAAAAGGTAGCTTGTTGTTGTTGTTTATTATTCCTGGCCACACCCAATGGCCCAGGAAGAATTTGTGCCATTCAGCAGTTTGGGAATCTTGGCCAAGGAAAGACTCACACCCTTGAAGTAGGGATTTCCAACCCCCCCCCCCCCCCCCCTTTCTCCCAGATACCACCTTTTCGGCCGGGGAGGAATGCCCCTTTTGTTCTCCTCCCCTGAGAAGCCATTCCTGTGTCTGCCAAACTCCTGGGGTCCTGCCTGTTACCTCCTAATGGAGGGTTTTTTTGGGGAGTTGGTTCCCGTCTGGGGGACCCCTCCAGCCAGTGCTCCAGGTCTTCTTGTCCCCCACCCCTTGCCATTTTGATAGTATAATCTATTTTTAAACAGGGCTTTTCAATAGGGGAGAGGAGAGCATCTCTTCCTATATCTGAGATGGGGTGGGTGGGAAGGAAGGGATTGGGGGGGGGTCTTCCTGCCACCCCCAAGTGTTTATTTTTGATACCAAACGTGTATTTTCAACTCCCTCCCTCCCAGCCCCCCCAATTTCCTGCGGGCGGGTACAAAGGACCCTTTAAGTGTCCCTGGAGTTGGGAGGGAGGAATGGGGGACATAAATCCTGTCCTATCTGAATTCCAGGCTGGAGAGGGTGGGTTCACAGGACTCCCGGGCTCACCTCCTGTCAGCACCGGACCAGCCCGGGCCTGGGGACCTGGGGGTTGGTGATTTGGGGGACGGTGCTACACCTGTCTCCACTGTTTGTTTTACTTTCCCAAAAATGGATCTTTTTTTTTTTCTAAGAGTCCCAGAGAATGGGGAATTGTTCCTGTAAATATATATTTTTAAAGGTGATGCTGGAGGCTGCTAGCCTTTTTTCCCCTGAAGCCATTGGGACTGACTGTGACAGGCGTGAGCTTCTGTGAAAGGCAGCGAGGGTGTGAAATTGACCGTGAGAGAGAGCGTGACGGCGTGCATGGGAGACTGCAGATGGGTAGCCCCAGCGTGCAAAGAAGAGAGAAGGTGTGGAAAGCTACGATCGCGTGTGCGTATGTGTGTGTGAAGTCGCGTGTGTTTGTGAGTGGCAGCTGTAACCACAAATGACACCAGGCCTATGTAAGAAATGATGGCCCTGTGCCTGAAAATCATTGTGAGACCGAGTGCCGATTAAGGTTCAAGAGTCTGGAGGTATGCGGGACGTCCGTTTAGGCACAGGCAGTGAGAACAGCACCCCTGACACCGTCTGACAGGCTGATGGTGGTGAGCAAGACAGACTGATGACCTGAACAACATGTGAGCCCGTACGGGCATGAAGGTGTGGTGGAGACAGATGATCAGGGACCGAGTGCCAGCGAGAAGGTTGCCTATAAATAAGCAGGTGACTGCGTTTGGGAGATGGATGGTGTGTGAAACTTCGTGCAAGGCTGTTGTAGTGACTGAGGTCCTAGAAGCCTTGTGGAAAAGAGCTGTTTGTGTGAGAGAAAATGGCTGTGAGGCCCAAGATCAAGAATGCGTGACTGTGTGTGTGAACACCGTTCATGTGAGACTGGCAAAGACTGTGTGAGAAACTGAAGAAAATTTGGCTCTGACAGGGGGAGCATGAGTCTGTAAGCGTGTGTGTGTGTGTGTGTGTGTATACCTGAGACCAGTGGCAGATTGGTTACAGTTACTACTCCAGTCTGGCCCAGAGGTTCAGGGTCTGGGACAGCATGAGAGAAAAGGATGGCAAGGCCGAGTGACCGAAACAGTATGAGAGACCACGTAAGTGTCTGAGTGAGAGCCAAGGAGGAGCATGATGCCACGTGAGAGAAGAACCAAGGGCCGAGCAGTGTGGGCACGTGTGCAGGTATGCAACACATGTCATGAGGGACTTCAGTGGGACGCCTTATGTGTGGGAAGAACAGAGAAGACAAGACCCTGGGATTGGGGGGATTGGTGTGTGGGAGAAGTGGGTGAGGCCCTAGTCGTGTTCAAGTGTTGCTGCTGAGGAAACGATGGCGTAAAGGACCAAGGCCAGCCGGAAAGACTGTGTGACACTTTGAGAGCCTCAGAGCGCTTGGGAATTAGTGACCACAGGTGGCAGAGGCTGACTGAGGAAAAGTGACGACGGTGGTGAATGGGCGACCGAGGCAGTGGCTGAGAGATTGGTTGTGTGGGGGTGTGTGTGAACGTCTCTGCAAGACACTTAGAGGCCATAAATGAGGCCTGGGTGTGCTGCGCCACTTGAGATGTGAGATGAGGTGACTGGAGCAGCGTCTGAGGCGCTGTGTGATGGTGTGTGCGTGTGTGTCTTAGCTTCCACCAGGACTGTGGGTGTGCAAGATGGGGGCCTGGGTGAGAAGGAGTAGGAGAGGTGGTGATTGAGTTCGTGTGTGAGAAAGTTCCCGAGAGACCAACAGGGGCTGTAAATCAGGGACTGCGTGGTAAAAACATCTAAAGGCGTGACTGCATTTGTGTGCATGTAAGAAACTGGTAAGAGATGTTAGTGATCGTGGCTGAATGAGGGAGGCTGTTAAGACGTGTGTGTGTGTGTGTGTGTGTGTGTGACACTATTAGTAGGAGACCAGGAATCCATGACAGAGAAAATGACCATGAGCGTGTGACTGAGGGCCAGTCCAAGAGGCTGTGGGACTGAGTATGTATATGAGCCTGTTCCTAAGCCTCCTGGTAGAGGCTGCAGGTCCAGAATTGTGTGTGTAACTGTGTTAAGGAAGAAAAGTAAGAGAAAATGACCAAGACCAAATGAGACTGTATGAGAGACCACAGATCGAATGTGCCAGGCATGGGAAAGAAGCCACTTCCTCCATTGGTCTCTCCTCCTCCATCCCCTGGACTGTCCTCTCCCAGTTCTCCAAAATTTGAAATTCTGGAGTTTCCCAGGGCTTCACCTAGGATTCTCTTCCCGGTCCAGTCCCAGCACTTGAGACACAACTTAATCCCCCCACCAGTGAAGCCCACATTTTTTACCTCCAACCCAGACTCTTCTTTGTTGCACGCATCGGAATCTCTCTAGAATTTTGACGAGTGGTTTATCCGTCCAGTGCTTATTTATTGAGCCTGGCAGACCCAGCAGTTACCAAACCAGACACAAACCCCTGCCCTTTGGCAAGCAGGTGTTTTAGTGAGGCCAATGGACAAGAAACAGATAAGTATGTCATCATCAGTGCAATAATTTCATGAGAAAAGACTTGGCTCATGCTGTTTAGATAAGAAAGCTGCAGTCATTTCATTGCGCAAGCATAGGGAAAGCGCGCGCCAACAGTTCTCTTCCCACGGGGAGTTCTCGGGGTATACTGTTTAGGCGCAAAGGAAGTATTGATTATAACATTATTACCGGGACAACCAGTAATTAGAAAAAACAGCCAACCGGAATCACAGGTTTCTGGGGGAATTTCTTTCCACAGGATAACACAGCGCTGAGGTCTAAAGTCTTGGAATCTTAACAAAGCCCCTTTGTTCAAAGTGTACTTTCAAAAACACGCCTGTCTGATCAGGAAACAGTACATGTGTAATGGATACAGATGTCAACACACCTTATCGCCCCATAACGACAGACCCAACATTCTTGAAAAAATTCTCTTTTAACAACCTGACCAAATCAAAGTCTATTACTCTGGGCTAATTTGCAGAACAGTACCTCACCCTCCACGAATGCAGAGGAAACAAGACCTTGCCTTCCTAACTTTCTTTGACTCCTTTTTGTTCATTAAAGAGATTCCTGGTTTTAAAGTGAGCTCTGGAGTTCCACTCATCAGGGCTAATAAGAAACAAGAAAAGAGGGGGCTCCTGGCCGGCTCAGTCGGAAGAGCGTGCAACTCTGGATCTCGGGGGTTGTGAGTTCGAGCCCTATGTTTGGTGTAGAGATTACTTTTTAAAAAAAGAAAAGAGTGGGTCCGTGGAGCTTGGTTTTACCTGCACGGAAAGGGGCTAAAGAGGACTGAACAGTAAAAGAAGGAGCACTTAGCATCATCTTTACGGATGACATCTACGAAGAATAAGAGGTGTTGGTGGCTAGAATGGCTCTTGAAGTGTGTCTCCCAGACCAGCAGCAGCAGCGTCCCCTAGGAGCCTGTTAGAAATCTTTAGGAAAAAAAAAAAAAGAAAAGAAAGAAATGTACATTCTCGTGTCGCGCCCCAGACCTACAGAATCAGAAGCGGGGGGTCGGGGGCAGCACTCTGTGATTGGACATACCTTCCAGATGATTCTGAGGCACACTAAGGTTTGAGAGCCCCTGCACTACAGAGTGACAGGGGTCCCATACAAAAAGCGTAGCTGGGGAAGGCCTTGAGAGAGGGGACATTCTGTGTCTGTCTCTTTTAGAGCATAAGCCCCTCGAGGGCCAGGATTTCTGACCGTCTTACCCTCTGTTCCGTCCAGTGCCAGGAACAGCATCTGACACCCAGTAGGGGCCTAGCAAGTATTGAATGAAGGTATTTAACACACAGCACCTACTGCATGCCAGGCACTGTTCTGAGGACTTTTAAAAAACCTTAAACTCCCAATCTTTGCAACGAACTCTGTGCTGTAGGCTGGGGTGGGGGTGGGGGGGGTTGTCCCCTATCCCCAGTTACTCTGAAAGAACACAGCCAAGCTGATTCCCTCCCCCAGGCCAGTGGGAGGGGGTGTTCCCAGCTGGAGCCCTGGGACAGCCAGCCGATATCCCCAATTCACTCTCAAACCCTCTCCCCACACTCTTTTCAGTTC